AACTGCATTTATGGAGTTGTTGCCCTGCATCATGTTTGTTAACAGTCAACTGTATGAAATGTAAGATGACGTAAGATGGGTGACAAGGCACTGTCAAAATATCTCCGGATAAAGTTGTGGATGGGCACAAGTCAGGAGATGGATACAAAAAAAATGTCAAATGCTTTATCAATGCCTCGAAGCTCAGTGAAGTCTATTATTAAGAAGTGGAAGGTATTTGGTACAACACAAGACCCTCCCTGGATCAGGATGACGCTCGATAGAGCCAGAAGGAAACTGGTCAGAGAGGCGACCAAGAGGCCTACTACAGCAACTCTGAAGCAGCTGCAGGAATTTATGACAAAGAGTGGTCATTGTGTGCATGTGACAACAACATAACAAATTCTCCACAAATGTGGCTTGTACGGAAGGATTGCAAGAAAAAAAGCCACTCCTCAAGAAAGGCCACATACAGTCACGACTGAGCTTTGCCAAAACACACCTTGAAGATTCTGAGGCAGATGAGACTAAAATTAAATTATTTGGCCTCAACACCAAATGATATGTCTGGCGGAAATCCAGCACAGCTCACCATCCGAATAACAGCATTCCTCCAGTAAAGCACAGAACTGGTAAAATCCTGTTATGGGGTGTTTCTCCGCAGCAGGGACTGGAGCACTTGTCAGGATAGAAGGAAAAATAGATGGAGCAAAATACAGTCAAATTCTTGAGGAAAATCTGCTGCACTCTGCCAGAAAGTTGTCAATGGGAAGGTTTACCTTCCAACATGACAATGACCCAAAGCACACCGCAAAACTGAGCACACAGTGGTTGAAGGAGAAAAAGGTGAATGTCCCTGCATGGCCTGTGATTAAAGCAAAAGGTGGTTCAACAAAATACTGACACAAGGGGGTGATCCTTTTTCCAACTCCGTGATTCTGTTTTTTTTTCCCCTGACATGTTGGTGTTATAAGTTGCACTGAGTAAATACAACTGGATAAAACAAACTATCCATCTTCATTTCAGGTTACAAAGCAACAAACTGTGGTTATTTTAAAGGGGGGTGTTTCTTTTCTATACTCACTGTAGATCATCTCATGATGGACTGTCTCATTTCACCTATGACCATAATAAAATGACATAACCCATCAATACATATAAAATACTATTTGAGTGAAAAGAAACTCATTCTGAAATGTTACCAAATGAAATATTATATAATGCATTCACTTTGATTGCACTTTGACATTTAGATAAAAGATAGATATACTGAAGAGACTACATTGTGTTCTTTAAAAATAAAGCAGGACCAAGTAGAGTGCAAAAAGTTAAAAGGTTTATAAAAATGACGACGAGCTCAAAAGAACAAGTTTGAGTCAAAAAATGACATTTCCCTTATACCAAAAACATAAAGTTTATGTCTACATTACTTGTTAACAACCCATATACACATTTAAACACCCCCTTCTGATGCAATTGGATTAAAATTTACCACACCTTCTGACACAACTGTAATTTATTTATATCTTTGTCTCATGCATACTCATTTGCCTTGTGTGTAGGAAAGAGTGGCAGAATAAAAGTGTAATTCTAGTCTTGTGTCAGCTCCAGCCACAGATTCCAGCACTGCATGGGAAATAAGTGCAGGCACAAGCCCAGCATTCCTGCAGTACAAAATCAGTGACTGATGCTTTTACTAGAAGGTTTTTGTGGATGATTCTTTGCAGTTATTCTCCAAAAAAGTGCGCTAATGGCAACAATAAGCATTTGTCCGGAAATAAAAGTGCTCTGCATTATAAAGAAAACCATGCGAAATATAAAAAGCATAATCACTTATTATTTACAAACACTTAATTGTCCATACAACTCCAAAACAGATGTTTGTTTTTTTTAAAGAAATGGTCCATGTTCATCTGTGACATGTTGTAAACAGACAATAATTTGATCTCTTCCTTCAGTTTGTAAAAACAAAGATGTTTGCAGTTATGGGTGGAAATATTGAGGAGGATTTTAAAGCAGAAATGTGAAGTTTGCATCTTTGTTTAAACATTTAGATTAATTCCTACATACAAAAATGTTTGTTAATTAATCTTTAAAATCTAAATTGTGTCATAGGCTGATGAGCTTCTGGTTAAGCATAACTACCGTACTTCCTGTAAGTGGAAATCTCTTTCTGATATCTTTGCACCAATCATTGTTATTGTTAAATAAAACCAAAACTATACTAGCAGTTGTTTAACTAAAATAAAAAAATGCTGAAATAAAATCAAACAAAATAAAATATTGAAAAAGCTAAACTGAAATAGAAATGTTGCCATTGCAACTATAACTGAAATAAAATAAGTTGAAGTACTAAAACGACTAAAAATAAAACTGAAATCAAAAAATAATTGAAAGCTAAATGGAAATATTTAAACAAAAATGACAAAAGCATAAAAATTAAAATTGAAAGTATATATAAAAACAAATTCAAATGCTGTAATCATATATAAATAATTTAAGTAGTCTAAATGAAAATGTTAAATGTTGCAAATAACTGAAATAAGTTGTAGTAAAATGACAAAAAATACAACTGAAATAAAAATAAAGCTAAAAAGAAACACTAACCCAAAAACTAATAAAAAATACAAACACGAATAAAATTTAAAATGAAATTAATATCCAAAATATAAAAACTATAATAGTATATAAATAACACTAAAACATTAAACATTGCTTTTCACACACTGTCAGAAAAAAACAGTCACATAATATTGGTTAGAATTTGCACAGACTTGGTTAGTATGTCAAGTCAAGATTTAACTTGTATTTAACCCAGAACTTTCCATTGAATAGCTGATTAGACTTGTCTAAACCTTAAAAGTGACATATCACAGCTTTTCCAAAAGGTTCTTTTTTTTTTTTTTACTTTATTTTCTTACATAGGAAAATAGCATTTTTCAGTTATTCAAAAATATAATCTAAATTTGACCATCTATATGGTATGAGAGCAGCTATAGTCGGATGGTCTGTGTAAATGAAAACTGTTAATGCATTAACATGATGTTGTAGGTAAAGGAAATAATTTAACGCTTTTATTGGGATGAAGGTGGCGGCAGAAATATCAAGGATGAGCCCTTGCAAGGGAAAATAATGTTATAATTCCCCAAAACAGACATATCCCTTAAAAAAAAAAAAAAAAAGAGAACAAGAAAAAAATGTTACATGACAGTACTAGTCGAAACACTGTAAATCAGGATGCTCTCAATGTGATATTAAACAAGATGTACCTACGTGATCATTCAGAAAATGCTACAAAGTTTAGAGTATTGATAAGTCCAGATACTAAGCATGTAGAGCACCTGATAGTTCAAGAAAGCCTACATGAGCTACTAAGTAAAGGGAACAAATATAATGCATAAAGTACTTAAAGGGATAGTTCACCCAAAAATGAAAATTTGATGTTTATCTGCTTACCCCCAGGGCATCCAAGATGTAGATGTGACTTTGTTTCTTCAGTAGAACACAAACAAGTAAAAAATGATATAAATACTGTTCAGTTTCTTGCACTGACTGATCGTTTTGTGTCTTTACACATCAATGTATCGTCACGAGCCGCAGGGTTTAATTTGGTTTTGTTTGTGTATGTTTTTTTGACTCTTCCCATTTACTTCCATTATATGACTGACAGACTGCAACGGTTTGAGTTAAAAATCTTTGTTTGTGTTCTACTGAAGAAACAAAGTCACCTACATCTTGGATGCCTTGGGGGTACGCGAGATAAACATCAAATTTTCATTTTTGGGGTGAACTATCCCTTTAAGACCAGATGTAAAAAGGCAAGACGATGTCAAGGAAATTCACTCCATGTGGTAGATTAACTTGACCCTTCTCGAAAAAGAAACTTAAGCACAGTCCCATTAATGACAGAGTTGAAGCCTTCAATGACATATCGGTAAAATGATGTCCAGATAGCTTCATTTCGACAGGAAGCGATCAGCTGCCAGTTTTTGTGAACAGTAACACCTGTCCTCAGCGATTTAGCTTATCAACCGTGACACGGCACTAAGTAGAAAAATTGCATTTATCTAATGCAAAGCACAATACGACAACATAAAGGAAACAATTCTCTTTGTGTGATTACTGATCGAAGAGAAAATTGTTTCTAGCTTATATGTTTTACAGTACATAAGTTCATCCATACATGTAGTGATGTTATCCACGGCCCCGTACACAGGCGGGACCCCTGGTTTGGCATACGCTCTCAATAGACTGAGAGAGATGAGGCACGAGAAAAAAAAATGTGGAAAGCAACTTGATGCATAAATACCCTTCAGCTGGCGCAGGGATGTGATTGGGCCAAGAAAATTCCAGATATTTCAACGCGATTGGGTTTGCGCGAAATTTCGAAAAAATACGTAAAAACTTAAATATATTTTAAAACACTGTGACATGTCACAAATAACTGCATCAGACCTAATTTTGCATTACATAATAATTCATTTTAAAAGAGCTGTACTCCAGCAGAGTACTTTAATGAGGTGAATCTCACGGAGAAATGTCAAATGAAAAATTGAATTAAATAAAATGACTTTTTTCATATTGTGACATTATTTTCATAACAATTAAGTGCATTGGTCCACCTCAATTTCTCTGCAAAAAAATCTCATTCTCATGACTGTAATATAGTTATAATTTTTCCTTTGTTTTGATAATAAAGAATCTGTATAAATTAATTTTAACAACTAATACTACCATAATGTACACTAACAATAGTACTATATAATTTAAATATATATTTTGTTGAGCAATATGGTTTTTAATAATTTTTTACAATAGGATCATGAGATGTTTTTGCATTACAATGATGAAAATGAGCTGCTTTTTGCATGTTTTATATGGTTACTGACATTTTTGAGTTTTAAATATACTCAACTGTCATAAAAACTATTCTTTATGCAACATAAAAGTAAAACATTATTTTTTTACTTAATATTTTTGGGACTAAATATTGCATTTCCATAACATTTTTCTTGAGATTCACCCTGACAGAGGCCATGCTTGATAATCACAGCCTAAATCATAGTGCATATCGTCTTAATTTAAGGGAAATTCTGCTTCCATCTGGCTTCGCTGATCAAAATACTGAATTCCTTTTATATTTTCACCTGGTTAGATCTTGAACACAATATTCACAAACTGTACAAGAAATACATTTCTTCAAATTATACTCTGTATTGCCCTTTAGATCGGCAGACTTCCTGCAGTCTCGGTTTAAAGGCAATAAATACAGATCTCGAAATCTGTTGCAGTTCAACCTGTAGCTTGACACCAGCGAAGGACGAAACGTGATGAAATCGACTGTGAGCTTTACTTCAGCCCACCAAAAAGCCAGAAATCTGCTTTGAGCGTAACAATCACATCCCTGAGTTTCAAGTTAGCTGACTGTAGCACCAAGATAAACAAACATCTGGATAAACGATAAAAAAGTGAGGGAGGATACGGAGACAAAAATGAAGGCGGAGGGTTACAGGCTGTGAGCCTGTATAGGTATCATAGCTTCCCCTCTCAGACTCCAGGAATCACACTCCAGGTTTATCCGGGGATCAGACGTTTGCCCTGACCAGTCTGCCGGCACGAGGACCCCGGTGCACCTTAGTGTGTTTGGACAGGTGGTCGCTCCTGGCAAACTTTTTGTCGCACATTGTGCACTCATAAGGCTTGACTCCCGAATGAGACCGCCGATGGCGGGACAGCTCATCAGAGCGAGAGAACCTTTAATGCACAAAACACAGCAGGACATACACATCAGCTCATGACTCTGGAAAAATAAAATCATTACATCCAAGGCCTAACTACAGGTTTTGATGTTAATCAGCTCACAACCTATTTACAAGGTTCCCACACTAGTTGACCAATGGATTTCTATGACTTGCTCATGAGTTTTCATCATTTATTACTAGATAAACATTTTTAAAAATCATTTTATTGAAATTGCTCTCACCAAGAGATATTTCTAGACAATCAAATATTTTGAGCATTGCTACAAAAATGTAATATATACACATTCATTTCAATGGCATTTCATTCCTTTTAAATTTCCACTCATTTCCAGGTTTTGCACGAAATGCACTACCATTCAAAAGATTGGGGCCAACTTTTTTTTTATACTTTTATTTATACTTCAATTCAGCAAGGACACATTACATTGATCAAAAGTAATAGTAAAGACATTTTTAATGTCACAAAAGCTTTCTAATTCATATAAACGTAGTCTTTTGAACTTTTTCAAATAATCAAGGAATCCTGAAAAAAGGATCGTGGTTTCTACTAGGCCTGTCGCAATAATCAATATATCGACTTATCACGCAATATATGCCCACATATATATATATATATATATATGAAAACTATTTGGACAACTTTTGATTCGTAACTTAATTCATACATCCAATAAAAATCACCTTAAGGTCAGCTGGTCTGTATTTAGTTAGGTTAGCTTACACTTGGTGTGACGTTTTGATCTGATGCAATGAAAAAATGCATTTTAAACGTCCAAACAGTTCTGGGGTCAATATTTACATGCGCCCATGCTCATCATCACAATGCTTGCTGTGCCTTTGTGCATATGGACATCTGACTGCTGAGTAGTGATTGTTTTTCAGCAATAGTGTGCACCCTTAATTTACAAGAAGGTCAGAAAAAAATCTGTAGATGGAAAAATCTCCATACAAGTTATTTGTGCATTTTTCTTTTTTTCTTCTTGCTACTTTGCACTTTTTGTTAAAAAATAGTAGAAAATTTACTATTTATTCAGGTTTTTTAAGGTATCTAGTATTTTGATACCTAATTTCCATTATCTAAATATTCTTAAAAATTAAAAGTTTGTTGTCATTTGGAAGTGTGTAGGCCTTCTTGCATTATTATGCTGTTACATAAAAAAATGGCAATAATATTGCTTATCGCAATTATTTCTGGGGAAATATATCGCACAACAAAAAGTTGTTATCGTGACAGGCCTAGTTTCTACAAAAATATTAAGCAGCACAACTGTTTTTAACACTCATAATAATAAGAAATCAGCATATTAGAATGATTTCTGAAGGATCATGTGACTCTGAAGACTGGAGTAATGATGCTGAAAATTCAGCTTTGCATCACAGGATGACATTTTAACATATTTTAATGGAAACAGTTATTTTAAATTGTAATAATATTCCACAATATTACTGTTTTTACCATGTTTGATCAAATAAAGCAGCCTTGGTAAGCATAAGAGACATCTTTCAAAAATATCAAAAGATCGTGTTCAATCCAATGTTACCAGGCATTAGCAATGGCTTGTTCAGCCTAGATGACAACAGCCAAAGAGAAAAGCTGTTTCAGAGATGGAGCAGGTTTTTATAAAAGATTATGAAGACATATTTTGTGCACCAAAGACCAAAACAGTATATAACGAAACTATTATCTTGTGTAGAGCTGCTTTATAGTTGAACTATAATAACTAATGATGAACTTTGCAACATTCACATTGTTATTGAACTAATTTGAATCATCATTGAACTAAACTGAGCTGAATAATGACACTATTGTCTTTTTAGAGCTGCTAAAATTGTATTCATTTCATAACTGAAGTACTTCAATATGTTTCTTGTTTATTACGGTGAAACTGCTTTGAAACAATCTGTATTGTATAAAATGCTATAGAAATAAATGTGACTTGATTATTAAGAAACAGAATCAATTTGAATGTGGTTATTACTGAACAAATCTCACTTTCAAGTTGATTATTTTCTAGTTTCAACACTCACCTCCACCCACAGTCTGGCCAGCTGCACAGGTAGGGTTTCTCTCCCGTGTGTCTGCGGAAATGAGCCTTCAGGTGGCTGCTCTTGGTGTACATCTTCTCACACCCTGGGTGAGAGCATTTATGTACCCGCAAGGTTTCCGTGGAGGACCTGGATGGACGTGATGTGATGGCTTTGACCAGGCCTGTGCCCGCTATTCCGACCGCCCTGATGGCAATAGGCAGGGGAGCGATCTTCACATACTTTTGGTCTTGGTTGATGGCCTCGCCCACGATGGGGAGGAAAGTTGCTGAGGGCACCTGTGATGAAAGGAGGGTAATGTTCTGTGCCCCTTGGACACCGAGCACCAGGTGGGCCACCCGAAGCCCGTTGGCCACACCCGATTGGGTGTCTGGCTGTGAGAGGGCGTGGCTTAGCTGGAGAGGTTGTAATTGAAGCACAAATGGAGCACCAATGAGCACCGGCGCAGCACTAGCTGTGGTGTTAACACTCTTAGCGGCAGGAGGCGTTGTCGTCGGGCTGGATTTCGGCTCTACGTCAACAGGGGAAGACGGCTGTATGGGAGGCTCAACCTCCTTTGACTTTTCCTCTGGACTCGGAGGAGCATCACTCAAAAGCTCCATTTTCTCCATCAAGAACTCCTCAATGTCCTCCAGGGTTGGAGAGAAGGTGCTGGAGAGCTGGGGTATAAAATCAGGCAGCTTGGGCGGCTGAGTCAACATCTCCTCAGTGGAGTCTAAAAAGATCTGCAGCGGCCCATCGTCCTGATCTTCCTCCCCTGGGCTGTAGCTGAGTTGAGCTCCAGCATCTCCGGTTTCGGGACTGGAGCATGAGATGGAGCTGCCCCTCTCGCTGCTCTCGCTGCTGCCCACTTCCACGAAGAGCAAGGTGGCCAAGGCATGGTCCGCTAACGATTCATTAGAAGCGGCCACCGCTTTGTCACTTATGGAGACCATTTGTTGGTGTGCAGATCAGAGGAAGGCCAAAGGTATTGCCACGATTTGTAAACACTACGACAAAAAAAAGAAGATAGAAATTGAATATTGAGGAGAAGCAGTGATGTACAGTAGCACGCTAAAGAATCTGAACACTTTAAACACACTAACAAAAAAGCAAATATATTTCCAGGTCACATTTCATTCGTTTTGGGGGGGCGTGGCAGAGTCTTAACTTTGATAAAGAATATCTCTTTGGTTTTGAGACTTTAGTCTTTGCAACTTCAGGGATCTTATCTATGCACAATCAGCTTGTAACACTCCAAAGAGAAAGGAAAACTTGAAATCGCATCATATGACCCCTTTAAAGCACCGAGGTTTATGGTGTAGAAAGAGGAGGGGCTGTTCAAAACACCATCACAACACAAATCACCATCACAACATAAATCACAATGCACACTAAACCAGTTAAAAGAGGAACAACATAATCAAACTCGCATCAACACAGCGGCAATGCTCAACTACAGCACACACACGAGGTACTAGACATGTGTTTCACAAAAGTGCGTCAGCAGGGCAGGAAAACAGGCCTGCACACATGCTCCAACACACAGGCGACAAAAACAGCGGCTTTTGGACAACACGGACACAACATTCCCAGAAACAGGTGTCAAGTTCATCAAAGTCGGGTCATTTAGATCAAATCTGACCCTCTGTTTACAAAATCGACTTCGGTTTGGTTTACCGAACGTAAAACGATATACGTATGCCTCATTACCTTGTGTAAATATGGATTGAAATGTCCGGATTGTGGATGTGCGACATAGGATGAATCCAGATGTCCCTTTCAATGTTATTGTTGGGAAGAACATCGTCCTTGCCACGGTTCCATGTTGGCATTTCTCACAGAGGTCTGTCACATGACACGCATCGCAATGCACTCGAGGGCACGGATCCGATTCCTCGCTTCTGATTGGTTGTGTGGCGGGGGCTCGCCCCAAAACGAGGTACGTCATTGGTTAGAGTAAAAGGAGGCATGAATTATTTATAAGAATAGGAAAAACATCCAACGAAAGCAAAGAAAAAAAAAATTACTGATCTTGATGCATTTATGCACATTTATATACATGTATTGCATACAAGCAAAATCTTTAACCTATTCAAACCCGAATTATGTTCTAGAACTATAAATATAACCATGCTTTAAATGCATCCATAATTATAATAAAAAAAGACAAAAATGTAACATCCAAATTATTTCAAGAAAATGTATAAGAAATATATGAAAGTTAAATGATACATATAATTTTAAAATATACATAATAGTAATTGTGTTAAAATATAAATATTCATTTTGTTATTAAAAAAATATTCATTTTGTTATAATTTTCATAAAGTTATTTCAAATATCATTGTAAACAATTTTTTTGTGGCCATGCATATAAAAGTACTGCAGTCCTCTACTGCTACCTACAGTTATGTTCCTTACCCTTTATTTTGTTTATGTGTTTAATTATTTATTTATTCATATTGTCACAGAAAAACAAAACAAAATCAAGTTTGATTCATACATTTATTTTCAAAGATGGCAAAATTATTAATAAATTAGTCAAAAAACCATATAATTGTTGAAAACACTGCAACCGGGTGAATTTTGACAGCCTATGTATATATATATATATATATATATATATATATAAAACAAGAACTGAATGGAAAGGAAAAAGAAAGAAAAACATGGAAAAATAAGAGAACTGAGTGAATGATGGAGCAACTGTGGGTAAATCTGTCTGTTCTGACTATGAAAAAATGGAGCCAGCTGCTACAGAGACACTAGGTGGCAGTAGTTAATAAAGAACTGACCGATGCCACCTATCCCAAGTCAAGAACTGTCCAGCTATGATTAAAATTGTATTATGCCATTCCTAAAATAGCCAGACCTCAATTATAAAGTTCATTCTAAGTTTATTAGATTTTATTTGAACTAATTTAGTTGCAAATATCTTTTATCTTTTAGATAGCAACATTATATCTTAGAACCAAACATAAAAAGTACCTAAACATACAGTACAATGAACTCTTTGAAACTAAATGAAAAGCAATGAATACATCTATTTGTCTGTAATCTCAAAGATGTATTAAATAACATAAACCATCAAGACATCCAATCTAGACTTTTGTTGCTCCAGTTATTTAAGCACAATAACAAAGAAAAGAATAGCCAGCAAAACTTCAGACTTGTTCTTTTCTTTCTTCAGATAATGAAGCATCTCCGTATCAAACTTGTAAACATCACTTCTTTAACAGGGTTGCGTCACAAGATTTAAAACCTGAAACTCTCACTCGTCCTTGCTTTAAATCAAACATTCAGCTTATTTACTTTCCTGCACTTCAATACGCCCAAGTCAACTAATACTTCATTGTTACTTGTGTAATTGCTCTCCTTAAAAGGCATACAATTGTGTAATATTGCAAATATAATATTGTAAGCGCAGGTTAGATAACAATAGTTCCATCAAATAATTTAATGCTCAAATAAGACCTTTTATGTAAATGCATGAACATATATTGTTTGCTGAATATCATATAGCCCATGTTTTTTTTCCCAATAAATTACTTGTAAAGCATTTAATTGCACATTGCCATCGCTCTTTCCAAAACTACTAAACAGAACCAGCTGCCCTTTACAGTTTTTGTCACTAGTATCCAGAATCTGTTGCTCTGTTGGTAACATCTCATCTTGCATCAATATCCGCCTTCTCAAAGACGATCTTACTGGAGAAATACACAGCCACCAGACTCAACAAAGATGCACAGGCCATGTATGCGGTCACACTGTGGAAGAGCTGCACGATGGAGCCCATGAAGAGGGACGGGACCACCTGAGACAGCAGGTAGGCACTGTCTAAAATGGCGATGTCTGTGCCCATGCCTCTGAGGGCTGAGGGTTGTGGGTCCATGGTGATAGACACATGCAGATCAAGTGATTGTAATTTTTGTATATTGCTATGGAAGGGTATCGTACCTGGATACCCATTGACGCACCCATTAGTTCTTTTCTGCTTAGTCGAGGACAGCAACTCTGCTCTGACTAGCATTAGATCTTCCTCCCTGAGAGGAAAATTGTGCCTGTCGGTGGAGAAAAAGACCTGGAAATTGAGAAGTGCAATTGTTTAGGATAAATACAGATTAGCATGGAAGATATACAAATGCATACGGTTTGTTTGAAGCTCTTACCTGTGCATTTGAGTGGTATAGACATGTGAGTGTGTACGGCAGAATCTGCAGGATGCAGAAGGTGTATCCTGTAGCAGCAGCCATGATGGTGACTAGTATAATGTTGTTGGATATGGTCATAACTGCTGTACTCACAGCCAGCAGAACCACGCTGCTCAGATACAGCTTCCTGGCACCGATACACAACACCATACGCTCCATAACCAATGAGAAGATCACAGAGGTCACACATTGTAGGAAAAGACCCAGACTGGCCATTCGAACGCCTGCAGTGACATAAAAATAACACTAAAATACTTAGATTCCATATATATATATATATATACAAGCCATTACTTTAGTGTCACATGATTTTTCCGAAATCATTTTAATATGCTGCTCAAGAAAGTTTCTTATTATTATCAATGCTGAAAACAGTTGTGCTGCGTAGTATATTTTGTGGAATATTAGAATAGGGTGACCATACGTGCCATTTTTCCAGGACGCGTCCTGGCCAGGATTTGTTTTGGCTTTGTTTTCATGCTTGCTGAAGGTAATGATCGAAAAGTAGTTTGACCAATAACATGCAAGCATTGTACATAATGGACCAATCATGGCGTGTGAGAAGGTGGGATTTACGGTCAAAGCGATGCAATTACGCGTACATATTAGGTGTTTTCGACTTAAAAGCAGTGCGGCTCAGACCGATCAGTGTTTGACATCAAAGTACCTCGAGAGCGTTTTGAAAGCAACCGTCTGTATGGTATTTTGATGTCACACACCGATCGGTCTGCACACGCAAACAAAGCCAAAACCTAGATATTTTAGGCAATATATAAATCCTGGCCAGGACGCGTCCTGGGAAAATGGCACGTATGGTCACCCTAGTCTAGTCTCATATTGAATATAAACAATTTGTCTTACTGTGATTTTTTTACAGACTTTTGTGTTGGTTAAATATAAAACAAGTGAAGAAAAAAACCTGCAAGTGCAGTCAGACAACATACATTTCTATTAAAGATACACTCTCAAAAAAAAAGGTACAAACAGGTACAACAGGTACCCTTTTTTAACCCCTAAAGGGTACATATTAGCACCTTTTGAAAGGGCCCCAGTTACAGCGTATGTGCCTTTTTTAAATCTGTCTGTTCTGACTATGAAAAAATGGAGCCAGCTGCTACAGAGACACTAGGTGGCAGTAGTTAATAAAGAACTGACCGATGCCACCTATCCCAAGTCAAGAACTGTCCAGCTATGATTAAAATTGTATTATGCCATTCCTAAAATAGCCAGACCTCAATTATAAAGTTCATTCTAAGTTTATTAGATTTTATTTGAACTAATTTAGTTGCAAATATCTTTTATCTTTTAGATAGCAACATTATATCTTAGAACCAAACATAAAAAGTACCTAAACATACAGTACAATGAACTCTTTGAAACTAAATGAAAAGCAATGAATACATCTATTTGTCTGTAATCTCAAAGATGTATTAAATAACATAAACCATCAAGACATCCAATCTAGACTTTTGTTGCTCCAGTTATTTAAGCACAATAACAAAGAAAAGAATAGCCAGCAAAACTTCAGACTTGTTCTTTTCTTTCTTCAGATAATGAAGCATCTCCGTATCAAACTTGTAAACATCACTTCTTTAACAGGGTTGCGTCACAAGATTTAAAACCTGAAACTCTCACTCGTCCTTGCTTTAAATCAAACATTCAGCTTATTTACTTTCCTGCACTTCAATACGCCCAAGTCAACTAATACTTCATTGTTACTTGTGTAATTGCTCTCCTTAAAAGGCATACAATTGTGTAATATTGCAAATATAATATTGTAAGCGCAGGTTAGATAACAATAGTTCCATCAAATAATTTAATGCTCAAATAAGACCTTTTATGTAAATGCATGAACATATATTGTTTGCTGAATATCATATAGCCCATGTTTTTTTTCCCAATAAATTACTTGTAAAGCATTTAATTGCACATTGCCATCGCTCTTTCCAAAACTACTAAACAGAACCAGCTGCCCTTTACAGTTTTTGTCACTAGTATCCAGAATCTGTTGCTCTGTTGGTAACATCTCATCTTGCATCAATATCCGCCTTCTCAAAGACGATCTTACTGGAGAAATACACAGCCACCAGACTCAACAAAGATGCACAGGCCATGTATGCGGTCACACTGTGGAAGAGCTGCACGATGGAGCCCATGAAGAGGGACGGGACCACCTGAGACAGCAGGTAGGCACTGTCTAAAATGGCGATGTCTGTGCCCATGCCTCTGAGGGCTGAGGGTTGTGGGTCCATGGTGATAGACACATGCAGATCAAGTGATTGTAATTTTTGTATATTGCTATGGAAGGGTATCGTACCTGGATACCCATTGACGCACCCATTAGTTCTTTTCTGCTTAGTCGAGGACAGCAACTCTGCTCTGACTAGCATTAGATCTTCCTCCCTGAGAGGAAAATTGTGCCTGTCGGTGGAGAAAAAGACCTGGAAATTGAGAAGTGCAATTGTTTAGGATAAATACAGATTAGCATGGAAGATATACAAATGCATACGGTTTGTTTGAAGCTCTTACCTGTGCATTTGAGTGGTATAGACATGTGAGTGTGTACGGCAGAATCTGCAGGATGCAGAAGGTGTATCCTGTAGCAGCAGCCATGATGGTGACTAGTATAATGTTGTTGGATATGGTCATAACTGCTGTACTCACAGCCAGCAGAACCACGCTGCTCAGATACAGCTTCCTGGCACCGATACACAACACCATACGCTCCATAACCAATGAGAAGATCACAGAGGTCACACATTGTAGGAAAAGACCCAGACTGGCCATTCGAACGCCTGCAGTGACATAAAAATAACACTAAAATACTTAGATTCCATATATATATATATATATACAAGCCATTACTTTAGTGTCACATGATTTTTCCGAAATCATTTTAATATGCTGCTCAAGAAAGTTTCTTATTATTATCAATGCTGAAAACAGTTGTGCTGCGTAGTATATTTTGTGGAATATTTTTCAGGATTCTGTAATGAATAGCAAGTTCAAGCAAACATTTATTTAAGAAGAAATTATTTTAGTAACATTATAAAAATCGTAATCAGTGTTGGGGGTGATGCATTACAAGTAAACTTTCCATAAAAAGTAACACAATTAGTTACGTACGTGTGTGTGTGTGTGTTGAGTGCTGTTAGCTTAGCAACATGCTAACACCAACTGAAATTAATTGTGAGTCTAGTCTAGGGTGACCATACGTGCCATTTTCCCAGGACGCGTCCTGGCCAGGATTTCTATATTGCCTAAAATATCTAGGTTTTGGCTTTGTTTGCGTGTGCAGACCGATCGGTGTATGACATCAAAATACCTCGAGAGCATTTTGAAAGCATAAGGAACCGTCTGTATGGTATTTTGATGTCATACACCGATCGGTCTGCACACGCAAACAAAGCCAAAACCTAGATATTTTAGGCAATATATAAATCCTGGCCAGGACGCGTCCTGGGAAAATGGCACGTATGGTCACCCTAGTCTAGTCTCATATTGAATATAAACAATTTGTCTTACTGTGATTTTTTTACAGACTTTTGTGTTGGTTAAATATAAAACAAGTGAAGAAAAAAACCTGCAAGTGCAGTCAGACAACATACATTTCTATTAAAGATACACTCTCAAAAAAAAAGGTACAAACAGGTACAACAGGTACCCTTTTTTAACCCCTAAAGGGTACATATTAGCACCTTTTGAAAGGGCCCCAGTTACAGCGTATGTGCCTTTTTTCTAAGAGTGTACATTATCTGAAAACAAGTTTTAAAATCATATGCAGTGTTGCTTCTCAAGTAAATTTATCTTGTTTTAAGTACTTTTAGGATATACTTTTTTCTTTATATTACAGATAAAATGTCACCTTCATCATAGCGTATCCTTCCTGAGGAGCCTGGCTCTTCACTGGGCACCCCATTATACAATCCTTCTCCAACAAAGTCCGCGTAGAAAAGCATAAAGGACATAAGTGCCATCCAACTGCACAACTCAGCGACAAACAGCCTTGCAATGACTTTTGGCATGCGACTGCACAGCGAGTAGAGTCGGGGAGCCACAGAAAGGAGACTAGAGTACGTCCTTCGTAAAAGCAGAAATCTGGGGAATGCCACACAAGGGCAGCAGCGAGTCTTCAGTTTTTCAGGCTTTCTGGACACCTCAGCTTCCCCCAGCCTTTCTCGTACTGTCTTCTCCTCAGAGATGAAGGTTGTACCCATCAAACAGGCGAGAAAAATGAAGGTCAAAACAATGTAGATGAAGGCCTCTTGTCCACCCAAGTAGACCACAGTGTCCGAAGTTGTCCAGTCAACCGCGGCCAGCAGGTAGCCGATGCATCCGCCCAGACTGAGCATGAGGGAGTAGACGGAAAAAGCCTTACGACTCTCTTCCTCTCCGGGAAAGAGGTCAGAAACCAAGGCCTCTAAAGGGGTGAAGCAGGCCTGACCACAGAATTCCATCAAACTAATGGCAAGGACCAGCAGTGGGACCTCCAGCCAATGCCGCTGTTGTTTTGTGAGCAGGGTGATGAAGGTGGATGTCTGAGGGATGATCAAGAGGCCGAGCAGGACGCCCATGCACAAAACCCATATGAAGGGACGCCGGCGACCATATTTACTTCTCCAACTGTCACTCGCCGAACCAATTAGAGGGACAACGATCAGCCCCAGCACAGGTCCCACAGCTGAAATAAAAACATCAAATCATAAAACATCAAGTGTAAATTCACTCTGGATGTGTCTGCTAAATGCATATGACACTATATTCTTCTGTAAAAATGTTATACAACACAGTACAATGACAAATTATTTTATTTATTTAATTATTAATTTCATTGTATTTCATTACAATGTATTTAATTATTGAATAGCTGCATTTTAAATTATTGAATAATTTATAATGAATTTAATTAACAACCTTTTTTTTTTTTTTTTCTAATATTATAATAAGTATACAGTTGCATTTACATTTCAGTAAAGTGGTCCCTCACAAGGAGATCAACATATTTGGGTGTCCTTAGCATTAAAAAGTTGGAAGTGAAACCCCAGAGGTGGAAGTGACGAAGCATTGACGTGGAATGGCTCAGTAAGTGAGTCAAATGTAACCATTTATACGTAAAACTAAACTTAAGTTACGCAGTGTTGACGGAATGGAACGGTTCAGTGAGTAATTTGTTTCAGTAACCAGTCTGGCGGATTTGGTTCATTATAGTTCACTCA